AGGAGGCGATGCTGGGAAGGGAAGCATTCTAAATACAAGAACAAAATTCAAGAAGTGATCAAGATGCACGAATGTGGAAAAATAAATATAGCACATACATATGCTATGATTTCTTTGCGAAGTATCATCTAAAAATTTATAGTATACACTCTAGGTGTATTTTGTTAGCGAACATTGCACATATTTTCAAGGGTCACTCTCCACCTTACTTTTGTTAAGAAAATCACTTTGGTTCCCTGTAATTGCAAATGGTTGTTTCGTTTCAAGGGGGACCCTTGATCTATATTAATGAGGTCATGAAAGTGAGGAAATGCCAAGAAAATCTAGAATCCTCTAGCGTAAATAACTAACAAAGAGAACTGTTATGCAGAGAAGAGAATTAGAAAAGGAAAGCCACATAATTATTAGGTCATCTATGAATTCTGTGTGATGGTTTTTCCATTGTGTGGTGGCATAAGGCTTTTAACTTCATGGAGATGGGGAACAATCGCACCCAGCCATAAATAATTTATTACTCCTAAATATTAAAAAAAATAATTATGATGGTTTTACAGAAAATGCACTTCACCGTATATCTTCAGGTCCAAATGATTCCTCCAATATGCTGATAGCTTCTAAATACAGTGGCTCTGCTTTGTCAAAAGCCTTCTTGACTCTGTACAACTCAGCCTAAAATGAGAATCATAGTAACAATTGAGTTGTCTTACTACAGAATCTTCTCTCTTTAGGCAAATGAAGTAATCATTATGAGGCAATACCAAATAGAAGTAATTAGAGCAGGCATAATCAACCAATATGACTCCTTCAAAATAATACAGAAAGGAATGAGTTTTGCTAGAAGTTGAAAATTTCCATACACTTATATCAATCACATCATCTAATGTCTTTAAAAATTGAATGCTTTAAGTCGTGCAACTGTTAATATCACAACCTTTCTTGGCATTTTAATTATTCTGCCTATACGAAGTATGATCATGCACCAAGATTTCTTGCAGAAATGCAAGCACAGATATAATTCACCAAATCTCAGGCCCCAAAAAAATATATCATATGTACGGGAATATATGATAAAACATTATCACCTATAAAGGATAAGAAACTCTTCAAAGGCATCACAAATTTTTTTTTTTTTTTGGGGGGGGGGGGGAGAACAAGATTAACAGTGGAAAAAAATGAAGACAGAAACTCAATGAGGTTCAGTAAAGAAAACTCTCCAGGCAGATTCCTCAATGATTTACGAAACAGTTCTCACAACTTCAATTAAAAAGAAGACGTTTGTCAAATATTAAAAAAATAATAATAATAAGACAGCAACCAAATGACAATTTTTAAGAAAAAATTCTCTAGGAGGATTCCTAAATGATTTACTGCAAAGTTCTCACAAATAATTAGGAAGAAGATAATTATCAAGTGTAAGCCATCTTGATGATAAGCTGACCAGATTGTTGCATGCAGATGCAACATGTGGGTCTCTCTGGCCAAAACCTTCTCTAGCTTCTTGCACCGCAGAAAGGAAGAGCTTTTCAGCTTCATCTATTTTTCCCTGGCAGATAGTTGACAGAAAATAAACTTTGGAACGCAAAAGATATAACTGACGAAAAATGAAACATAGCAAAAAGAAAACCTGCTTGCCTCAAGAAAAAATTCTCTCCCTTTATCGGTAAAGACCCTCCATTTTGATGTGTGTATATTTGATACTACAGAGCCATCCTCAATTTTTTGCAATCCAGTTATGTCATCCTTTTCAGCGTCACTATCAAGAACTGCTTCTTTTGATGCATCTTTTGCAAACACAGGGTTGGCATTGATGCCAATAATTAATGCTGCATAAAGATCAGAGTAATCAATCCCACCTCTTTGAACCATCTGACAGTGCCTCGGCCAGTTTGATTTACACAACATAGATCCAGATGGAATGTCAGCCATCGTGATAGTGCATATGAACTAAAAGCTAATACAATTATAGAAGCAAGTATGATAGGTAGATCACATGAGGGCAGAGACAGTGGGAAACAAGTTTTATATTCAATTCTATCTGGGAATTGACTTGGGAAAAATAGCCCGCAGTAAACAAGCTAATTTTCAATCTAGATATTATTCTACATCCTGAGCAACAAATTTCCTCCCCATTTAAAAGGAATAGAAGACTACCACGTGTTGTTGTGAATAACCTAGTGCATTGCTATAGGGTTGTGATTATTTTTCTGAATCTTCTCTAGATAGAATAAAGAATTTCTTGGGAAGTATGGATGTTACAAGGTAAAAATATTAAATGCCTCATGATCAACATGACAAAAATGGCATTCATAGAAGTTGATTAGACTTTATAACTGCATGTACAGTTTCCCTGAGTTCCTAAACATAGCTTTTTCTTAATTGCCATAAATTAGTTTAGATATCAGGTTGCAAGCCTTGCCTCCAATAATATTTGCAATCGTTGTGATGTTATGAATTTAAGCATGGAAGGAACATTAAAAGGATGAAGAAGTAACATAATGCAGATTTTAGAATAAAAAACAGCAAAATTACAAGTTGAAAAGAACAAAACAGATTTATGTGTTAATGTCAAAAGCATACCAAGATGTCCATATATCACCGTCCATAGACAAGGACCCCTAGAACATGTCCTCCAACCATGCGCACCCGGTCGATGCCAATGACAAGTAAAATTTTCACCTGATACAACACCAAATGACGAAAAAAACAATAAGTCGTCATCATCGTCACTGTGCGGGACAACTAGAACAAGGCATTATTATCCCTTTTGAACAACCAATACCTGATCTAGCTCTACAGGATACAGCAAATTCAAAACGTTTAAGATTTGATAAACGGTAAATCATCGGTAAGTTATTACAGGACACATGTTCGACATTTTGCAAGGAACTCTCCTAGTTGTCCTATGGGATGCCATCTAAGATAGACGAACTGATTGAGAAATTTATTCGAGCCTATATCCAGGTTCCAAAGTACAAGTTTTAATGCGTATTTTCTCTCACACAGACTAATAAAATCAACTGAACTACGATCCCTGAAGCACTGTGCCATTCTAAAATTAAGAAGTACGGTGACAAAACCTGCAATTTCGAGGCAATCTCAAATTGACATCCTTCTTCCAATTTCGCACTAAACTGTTTATTACTTCGTCACCAAAACCCGACGATTGTAATAAAAATATTGAAACAATATTAAAAAAATTGAGATTATCACTACAATTCGGCACCATATCTGAATTCATAAACTTTCGCATTGATTAGAAGAACTCTGGTGATTTTATGAGGTATTGGTTTTTCGCAGTATCGTCAAACAGTAACAACGACGTGAAGAATAAAAGAATTAGTCGGGTGATTGGTAACGAACCAGGAAGTGAGATGGGCAACGCATTAGAGGTTACTACAGAAGTAGAAGAAGCACTGCGAGAAGGAAAGCGAATCTTTTTGAGTAAATTAGCTGCTACCACCCGCAGAGACATTCTTCCAGCAAGAAAGATGAGGGATAGATACAGAAATACAGAGATTTAATGGATTTACTTATTTCATGTCACTGTGATTAAACTTGAATAGAGTTGTTCTATAAGCGCAAGCACTCAGGGTTTAGGGTTTTGAACAAGGCAAGCCACAGTAGTGAAGTCAGCTGCAGTTCTAGGAGAAGGTGAGGAATGGCAAGGTGGCGTTAATGGAGATGCTTCCCATGATCCCATCTCAACCGTAATTTCCACTTCAATAGTTAAAATTTAATGTAGTAATTAGAAAAATTTCCCGTCAAAGAAGGGCTTGAGAAAAATCCCCGGGAGCTAGGAATCACTGAAGCCGCATAAAGTAAGAGACTGTAAGCCGTTGGATTATATTAACGGAAAGGATCATGCCATGTCAGCAGAAGTGACTTTATCGTTCGCACGTTAAAGGAGCCGCAATCACGGAGCGGGCATGCTTGATGATGAAATAAAAAAACTGTTCGGATAAGACTTTTATTTATTCCAAAATTTATTTCTATTTAAGGTAATCCAAGTCAAAATAAAAAAATTATAAATAAGGATTTGTTATGTGTTTTGATAACGATAATATGGATTTTGATAACAATTTTATAAATAGGTCATTGTGTGTAATTTTTTAATTTTAACCTTTTTTTTGTGATTTTTCCTTTTTGTTATTATCACTGCTCTATCATCCACCATTTATTCACATCCTAATATCCTATTTTTAAATTGAGGTTTACAAATATTTTCTTTTCTTTTAAATAGATTTTTCTTTCGCACTTCCGAAAACTTGTTCTAAAAAAAATTAGATTAACATCATCTTTAATTTTTAAAATTTATTGTATCAAAGTTTTTAAAATTTAAATTTATTTTAGTTTTAATCTCTAAAATTTGAAATTAGTGGCTTTGATTTCTGAAACTTAATTTCATTTTGATTTATCTAGATATTTATATCTGGCGGCGGTGATGGGCCTGAGCAGTCAATTAGGCATAAATGGTGGAGAAAAGCGTTGATAGGAGATTGGAGAACTGGAAGCGCAGCTAAACGGAGTTTGTTTTTTTAAATGCACGTGTAGGTGAATTGAAACACTTGAGGTGATACATGAGTTCATCCTAACGTCAATTCAAGGAACAAATGCTCACCTAAGGGCATTCAAGGTTCCATTCAATAGAGAGAAAAGTGGAAAGAAGAGAAAAATTAGATGACGTTATATCTCATACTACTACGTTTTTTTAACTTTTTAACTCTAAAAAAATGAAGAGATTTTGAGGAACAAATAATACATCGCAACAGAATTTTTACTTCCGAAATGTCAAGATTACAAATTTTTTTATGTATTGTGAAATTAATTTTTTTCCCCTCTATTTTTTCATGTTCATTTGAAGATGAAGGATTAAAAAAAAATTTCCAGTTTTATCATCCTCCCATTTTCTATTCACCCTTATTCTGTCCCCATCCCAACAAAACATAATAGGAAAGACAGGAAAGTAATTATGAACAGAATACATGCCATGGGCTTGATGATACCAATACATAATTTTTTTTTTATTAATCATAAAAAACGTTTAAAAAGAGCATCACATTATTGCAGCACGTTTTAAGAGTGACAGAGAGAGAATTGGAAGAAGCAATACACTTCGCTTTTCAACCAACAATATCCAACAAGCCAAACAGCTAACGAACCACAAGAAGCTTGCTGCTAATCATCATCCTAACATAAACGAGCACTAGGACAACCTAACAGAACCTGGTGACCACATTCAATAATAGAGAATGAGAGCAAATGGTAGTAAACAATGAAGGATCTCTCAGAGATTTCATGGTTTCCAGAGAATGGTGGTGTCTGCAATCATGGAAGTGACCACATATGGGTCCATGTTAGAGGCTGGCCTCCTGTCCTCAAAGTAACCCTTTCCTGCTTTCTCTGTGTCCCTCCCAACTCTAATTGATGCACCACGGTTTGCAACACCCTGTCCAATTCCAATTGGCCAGAATAGTGAGATATTTTTTAGCACATTATTACAAAACATCTTAATCTAATCACCTTAGTTATGAATAGAAGCATGAATGAGTCAAAAGTAAGGACTTGAATCTTACCCATAAGAAGGTTTCGATATTGGCAGTCTCGTGCTTTCCTGTCAGACGACGCTCGTTGCCTTCACCATATGCAGCGATGTGCTCCTTGTGCTTCTTGCCCAACTTCTCGATTGCCTTCTTGATGACTTCATATCCTCCATCATTTCTCATGGACTTGGTACTGGCATATTATCAAACATTTGTCATGCATGAGGGTGGCAAGAAAACGAAAAATAAACTTCATACTACTAATCCTCCCACAGGCATCAAAGTTTTACCTGTAGTTTGCGTGAGCACCAGCTCCATTCCAGTCACCCTGTTACGTAAAAACCCAAAACAGGAATGTCAACATGGGACATGGATATTTGAGAAATCAAAATATTTTGAAAACAGGGAATTTTTTTATACCGGAATTGGCTTGGGGTCAAAGGAAACCACCACACCAGCAATCTCACAGATCCTCTGTTACCAAGAAACAGAGATGTTAATTGAAACTTCACCTTTAGACCTAGTCAATAATTAGTCTATCACGCAATCGAATGCTAATAGAACAATTTTCTTCCTATACAAGAACAGGTTCTTTTTGTAGTTTTTAAATCGTTGCCATGCGGTACCTCCAAGATGTAACGAGCACACCACAATTCGTCACCAGCAGAGATACCAACTGCAGGACCAACTTGGAATTCCCACTGCACAAACATACTGAAAAGGTAAGAAAATGATAAAAATTTGTTGAACAAGACCGAAGAGTAAGACAATGAGAAATAGAAAGATTGCAATATACTTGGCCAGGCATGACTTCTCCATTGATTCCACTGATGCTGATGCCAGCATATAGGCAGGCTTTGTAATGTGAATCTACAATGTCACGACCAAAAGCCTTGTCTGCGCCAGCACCACAATAGTATGGTCCCTGGTATAATGAGATAGAAATGTTAACAGATAAAAAATTCTGCTTTGTCCATGATCATATCTATACATTTAATTTAATATCAAATATAATATAATTAAATAAGAGAAAAGGAATATTATGTTGTGACATGTAAAAGTAGCTTCAAATCACATAGCGCTAGCATGGACTAAGAGCTCTATAAGCATCCTATGAGGATCTTACCACTTGTGTTGGTCTCTATTACTTATATTTAACATTTAAGTAATTCCTACTTAGTATTTGAAAGTCAAATGAGGAGGATTAAAAAAAAAACAGACTGATTAATTTTGCGAAAGTGTGCATGTTTAAGCTGGACCTTAATGAGAAAATTAAGTGGGTGTACAAAACTTGAAAGGAAGAGAATCTTCACCTGAGGTCCAGGAAAGCCACCAATAGGCCATCCAAGAGGCCAGTGTACATCTTTCTGCAACAAGGTGTATTCCTGCTCAATGCCATACCTATTTCCAAATGAAATAAAGGTATAGAGTAAGCAAAAAGGCATTAAGTCATGAGCCAAAAGATTATTCTGATACAAACATTAAATTAAAACACAAATAATACCAAGGTTCTTCGGCAACAACATCAGGATGGCTAAATATTTTTGCGGCAGAGTGTCTCTTGTTCGTGGGAATGGGTTCTCCAGCAGGAGTGTACGCATCACATATGACCTACGTTCATAGTCAAACATCATCGAAATGAAACCAATGTAATTATTGCAAAAGCTGTTAAAAAAGCCAAAACCTACCAAGATATTTTTACCCCTTCTGAATGGATCTCTGTAAATTGCTTGTGGGCTGTTGGTAGACATAAATAAATATTAGAAATACAATCCATGCGATTTTACTTTAAAGTATTTATTTTTGGGGGAAAAATTCCAAACAGAGTTAGTCTATTGAAAAATGCTTACTATAGGATCACTTCACTATCATCTCCAGGAGCTTGACCGGTGCTAGAACCATCATAATTCCACTTGGGCAGCTTTGAAGGATCACTAACTGGTCCTGGGAGAGTCTTTATATTCCCAAAACATTTTATAATTGTATAAGTAAACCAAAACAATATAAGAGTGATTTCATTCGAAGGTTGAGAGATTTAATTACTAAATTACCCTAGCTTTGCTCCTCAGGTCCATACCAGATCCACCGATCCTAAAAGATCACAAACGGATCAGAAATAATTAAAGAGTGATCGGTGGAAAAATAGTGGAAAAGTGTTAGGTAAGCAGGGGAGTTGGATGAGAAAGAAGCAGAGCAAGCAGTCAGCGTCATTTTAAGTCATTACTGCGTTAGTTGAGATTGTCGTCAATTAAAAGCCAGCAACAAAAAGGAAAGAACCATATTATTAACTGAAGACAAACAGGAAAAAAATATCTCAGAAACGTCAAAAAAAAAAAAAAAAGTATTCATGAAGAACAGAAAACTGAATAGAAAATCAAAAAAGAGATCAGAGTAAGCTTTAAACAAAAAGAAACAGGGGAAACATAAAGAAGAACAAATGGTCTTCCCCCTTTCTGTTCAGCTCTATTTAATGGAATTTCAAAAGATCAATACTCACAATCATAAACCTAAATCACTGCTCTTCTTAAAAACGTATTTCTTATATTCTAGGAAGTTTTTCCAGAGGTTAAGTAGGTGCACGCAGCGGAAAAAGTAAACCAGAGCACAGAGAGTGATCGATCAGCAAATAGACGAATAAACAGGCGAGCACGTAAATTCATGCATATGAGGAAGAGCCAGAAGCAAGACATACCATATGTACTCAGCGATCACCTTCTCGGTGGACTCCGAGAGGTCGAGGTTGATGAGATCTGAAAGCAGAGACATCTCGGAAACGAAGGTCTTCTTCACAACTAGAATCTGCGCAGAGACTGACTTTCTCTCTCTATCTCTGCGCTCTTTGGATTCAATACAAAAGGTGTGAGCGGAACCCAAACCCGCGCAGGTTTTTATAATGCCGTCCCCTACTTGGAAAGCATCAAACAACTTGTAAAATTTGCGATTATTACTAAATTTCTAAAATTAAATACAAATAAAGTCCACAGCCTGTCCAGCCTGCAATTCGTTTGCTATTATTAATTTATTTAATTTTTGTCACTGAATCTTTTTACTTTTATTGTATAATACCCCTCCGGTCTTTATTATAAGACCCAATTTGACTTTTTATTTGGTCCTAATTATAAGACCCAATCCATTTTCTCTCTTATATTTATGCATTTTTTTCCAAGATAATCCTTCTAATAATGATAGTTTTAGCTAATATACTTAATTAGCAAGGATATTTTAGGAGTAACAACACTTATTTATTATAAATAACCAATTTAATTTACTTCCTTAATCTTCTCAAATAAGTCAATTGGGTCTTATAATTAAAACCGGAGGAGTATAAAATAACATTTAAAAGTCAATATGTCAGTTCTCAAACTCAAGTAAATACTTGTGAAAACAGTAAGTTATTGCTATATTACTCCTTTTAGTACTATGCTATGAGAAAAAATTTTATATTTAGAATAAGAGAAATATTATTTTTTAACACAATTAAAAAGGGTCACATCTCTAAAGATTAATTGGCATACATATACTATCCATAAAAAGTGAAACACAGAATGATTCATTTAATGTAAATTGTTCAGATTATTGAATATTAATTTATAAGGGATGACGTTTCTTTTTTCTTTTTTCTTTTCTTTTTTTTTTTTTGGTTTTTCCTTTTGTAACATTTTTTTCAAATTTTATTGGATAAGAATTAATTTAGGATTGCCGTTTTGAGAGCTCCATCATGCCAATGGTCTCATGGGGAAGGAATCTAACAAGCGGAACCCCCTTCGTTCCCCGGGGGAAACGGGGGAACTGGCTGTGCCTGTTTCCCATTCACTTGAAGATTAGGTTGGAAAAAACAAAGCCAAAACTAAAAAGCGGAGAAGGGTAGGCATTGTAAATTTGTGAGTGTAATGAATAAAAATATAGAACGAGTTAATTAATGATTCGTCGTTGTCGTTACTATCTGTGCTGCGGAGTGGGCTTTCACGCGGCAAAGAATCACGTGCCGTGATTCAGTCACTCGGTTGGACGCGTGAATATACGGCAATAATTAAGGTTTACTATGTAGAAGTGAATTTGTTTGAGGCTTCGGGCGATATATTTAATTATTTATGCAGTACTAATACTCTTTTCATTTTTAATATAAGACTTAATTATTGAGTTGATTTTGATCTTAAATATAAGACATATTTCTCATATTTATTAATTTTTTTCTAAATTACTCTTATGGATCTCTCTCAGTCACAATCAAGTAGAAACAAGAGAGATGATATTAAGAAAGATCATTATGGTATTTTAAGAAAAACATGTCATATTTCTTATAATTAATTAACTTTTTTAATATAATCAAACTAGTTAAATAGGTTTTATATTAGGGACAAGAGGAATATCATATTTGGTTGGATTTGGATGGGATAGAATCGGGGAATAATTCCAAATTCTTTGCAAGTAATGGATGAATCTTAAGAGGAGTTTAACAAGCCCTACAATCACTTAAAAATCATATTTCCACGTGTCAAGGCAAAACTCTGGACACATATATTATTCGATTCAACTCAATATTGCTATTGTCTTGGTTTCACTTAAATGTGTTTGGTTTCATCTTGCTTTATTAGCAAAATTATTGTGTAGTCTCATATAAGTAATGTAATCACTAAAAAAATCTCGTGTTATCAACATGCCAGGACTTACTGTTGTTTCTTGTATAGATCTTACCATTAATAGGTTATTCACTTGTTATGGGACTTTTTCAACTACTGATTTGTTTATATCAGAGCTAATTAGAGATTTAATTAATTCGATCTTATATATGAAATTTTGATATACTGTGTCTCTTATATTTATATATTTGTTTCCAAAATAATGCTTATAATAATTGTACATATCAAATAGTTCTCATCAAAAGATAATTTTAACATGTATTATTGACAAGATATTTCAATTTAGAAAATACTGTATATATTTATTACAAATAAATAATTTAACTAATTTTCTAAATATTTATAAATTAATTATCTAATTTTTATATTAAGAAAATATGAGAGTAGTGTGCGTATCATTTTCACTTAATGCGAGAAACTCTTGCCCACGTTATATTTAAGGAGAGTTGAATCCATAAGTTCTAAATAGGAAAAAAGACAGAAAAATGGCATGTTAACTTAGGAATGACTAGAACATCCACTCAACTTGTAAAATCCCATTTTGGTCATATGAGACCAAATTGGCATTATCTTATGAAATGAAAAGACCAAACTGCCCCTCATTTATTTATTGTTTTTAAAATACCAAAGACTCCTACTGGCCAGCCGGTCGCAGGAGCTCTGGCTGCGGCAGTCACCAGAGCTCCGGCGGTCAGAAATAATTTTTTTAAAAATTTTTACAACTTCAGTATAACGGTTAATAACTTTTGTAACGCTATTAACAATTTCGGTATAGCAATTAACAACAGGTTTTCTGGGAAATTCAACAAGCTCCAGAAGCCGAAAACAATTTTTTAAAAAATTTTTACAACTTCAATATAACAGTTAACAACTTTTGTAACGCTATTAATAACTTCAGTATAGCAGTTAACAACAGGTTTTCTGAGAAATTCAACAAGTTTTGGTGGCCGGAAACAATTTGTTTGAAAATTTTTACAACTTCAGTATAACGGTTAACAACTCTTGTGACGCTATTAACAACGTCAGTATAGCAATTAACAACAGATTTTTCAGAAAATTCAACAATTGTCCGGCAACCAAAAACAATTTTTTTGAAAATTTTTACAACTTTCGTATAACGGTTAACAACTTTTGTAACGCTATTAACAACTTCAGTATAACAGTTAATAACAGATTTTCAGTAAAAATGCTACTTTTTGAATTTTTTGAAAAATTTGTTGTTAACTGCTATACTGAGATTGTTAATAACATTGCAAAAGTTGTTAACCGTTATACTGAAGTTGTAAAAAATTTTCAAAAAAAAAGTAGTTGCTAAAGTTGTAAAAATGCTATTTTTTTAAATTTTTAAGAAAAGATGTTGTTAATAACGTTACAAAAGTTATTAACCGTTATACGGAAGTTGTAAAAATTTTCAAAAAAAATTGTTTCCGGCCGCTGGTACCAATTGTTGAATTTTCTGAAAAACCTGTTGTTAATTGCTATTCTGAAGTTGTTAATAGCGTCACAAGAGTTGTTAACCGTTATACTGAAGTTGTAAAAATTTTCAAACAAATTGTTTTCGGCCACCGAAACTTGTTGAATTTCTCAGAAAACCTGTTGTTAACTGCTATACTGAAGTTATTAATAGCGTTACAAAAGTTGTTAACTGTTATATTGAAGTTGTAAAAAAATTTTAAAAAATTGTTTTCGGCCGCTGGAGCTTGTTGAATTTCCCAGAAAACCTGTTGTTAATTGTTATACTGAAGTTGTTAATAGCGTTACAAAAGTTGTTAACCATTATACTGAAGTTGTAAAAATTTTCAAAAAAAATATTTCTGACCGCCGGAGCTCCGGTGACCAATTGTCGGCCGATCACCGGAGCTCCGGTGACTGCCGCCGCCAGAGCTCCTGCGACCAGCCGGCCAGTAGGAGCCTTTGGTATTTTAAAAACAATAAATAAATGAGGGGCAGTTTGGTCTTTTCATTTCATAAGATAATGCCAATTTGGTCTCATATGACCAAAATGGGATTTTGCAAGTTGAGCGAACGTTCTGGTCATTTCTAAGTTAACATGCCATTTTTCTGTCCTTTTCCCTTCTAAATACTCTTATAATTCTATTTATAAGACAAAGAAAAAAGAAAATTTGTGGTCTTATTTATAGGGTTGACAAAAAAAATTTATATGAATGTACAACTTTACCTTTCATTTATTATCGTGCCAATTTTGTTATAATAAAATACATTGTATGTTAAACAGTAATAATATTAAAATTTTATTAAATTTTATGTGAAACATATTCAAAATAATTTATAAATAAGTACACAATAGGAGTGTGTGATTTATGCAACAGATCCCAACATAAAAAATGACGGCAAGTGGCAACTGCACTTGTCAGTTAAAAAAGTTGGGATAGCTACTCAAAAGTCGAGAGAAGTAATTCGATCCTTCATGCTTGTATGCTAGGATTCAAAAGCAAAATTACTACAGTACTCACAAAATAAATGTTCACATATACCTTTAGATTGGGCGCTCTTGCCCTAATCGTTTCATCAAATGTGTGCCTAGACACCCCTAGATTCATTTAAGGAAAAATCTAACTTCACCAAAGACATGAGTAGGTAGCTAGAAATATTCAATATTACATCCATAATTTAATGTTTAACTTTTTTAAAATATATATATATATCAGTATATTTAAGAAGTTCATTACTCGGGTCACGGTTTTTTTTTTTGCACGATTAATAATAAATTTAATCAAAAGTTATCCAAGGGTTGAAAACTGAGGGGAGAATTATAGCTTCACTAGCCCAAGGGATAGTTAAATAGTTTAAAACATAATCATATCAATTGAGCCCCCTAGATGCCGCTCGTCCAAACATGATTTGGGTTCCTTACATTTCAAATAATATACTCTTCCGGTTCTTAATATAGGATCCATTTAACTAATTTGATTAGATTAAGGAAGTTAGGTAAGTTAGTTAATTATAAAAATTATGACACATTTTTCCTAAAATACCATAATCATCTTTCTTAATACCCCTCTCTATCTTCTACTTGATTATGACTGATGGAGTATCTATAGGGGTAATTTAGAGAAAATTGATAAATATGATAAATGGGTCTTATATTTAGGATCAAAACTAACTCAGCAATTGGGTCTTATATTAAAGACCAGAGGAGTATATATATATATATAAAAGGTTGCCAGCAATATATGTA